TTCCCATCACACGTAATACACTATGTTATACACAAACGCCTAATTCACGTTATGAGTGCCTGAACTGAGTTCAGTTTTCGGCATTTTAGAATCCAACTTATATATATATATATGTATATATGCATTATTTATCACTTGGGTGGAACATAAAGCTTCAACAAAACATCTCCACTTTGTTTTATTTTAATGCTGTCCTCTTCAGCTGGGCCCATGGGGCGAAGTTAAACTTTCGACACCACTAACTACCAATCAGCAGATTATCCAATGAGATTCACGAACGATGTCGAATTATCCAATGAGGCTCACGAACGTAGTTCAATGTTGCATAGCGCTTGATTCATTTCAAATGCGTGGCCTTACAAGGTTACGGTTGCAATTCGAGGAGGATAGTGTTTTCCAGTATTGCCTGGATTTAGGGTTGCTCCGGAAGGAGCAAACTTGTTCGTATGGTGGTATCATGACTTTAAAAAGCTATAGCAGATCAACTGGTGGATTTGTTCATCGTTGTGCTATATGTTTGAAGCGTGCTAGCATTATAGAGGGTAGGCTGATTATTTTAATATTTCGTAGGAACTTTTTTCGCTAGGTCGCATCTCGCCCTAACCCAGATTTTATATATCTGCAACTACTGGGTGTTGAAACAGCCTGTCTCAACAGTTCAATGGTACCAGTATTGCAGAGATATCGCGTCATGGAAAATGAAGAAAATCACTTGTTTGCTGGGTGGAGAAGACGTTATCGTGCATGTCGATGAAAGAGTGTTGGTAAAAAAGAAAGGGTTTTGGGGCAGATTGAAAAATAGGATAAGGGCTATAAATGGATCTCAAAAGGATCTCATTTATAGTCATTTAGATGAATATATGTACAGGATGTGGTGTAACTTCTCCATTGACAGTCCCATGCTAAACTGGGAGATGTTTCTCTCACATGTTAGAGAAAGATATCCCATGTAACTTTTTTATTATCTATTTTATGCATTTTTTCTATAAATATACATTTCCATTCATCATATATGTCTCTTTAATGTGATTAGTCTGTTTAAGGTCGTTTTCTGATTGGTTGTTAGTGGTGTCTAAAGTTTAACTTTGCCGCCCATGGTTGCCGATAGTCCCTCGTCTCCTCCTCTCATGACCTCCTCCATGTCACCCTTGGGTATACATGCAACCCATTGTTGCTCATTTGGGTTCCACTCGAACGATAGCCTAAAGATGGCGTGATGTCACCCAATGGTCTCAGAATATTCTCTGAGAAATAGATCCCCGATTGATTCATCCTCAGAGTTACTTGTTGCCGACTCTTTCTGCATGGCCATCTCCAGAGTGGAGCCAGTGGAGGCAGCTGTTGTTGAAAGTCTCCATTAGCCAGTTGGGAACGAACCCACCTCCAAGTTTCTGACCCATATAGAACAACTGACTGGCTGGATTGGTGTTCAAAATCCGAAATTTGTTCTTTTTGCATGACGAGTGTAGAAGATTTCCAAACTGACTTGAGAGTGATAAAGTTCTACCTCGTCTTTCTGCTTCCGGCTTCGACATCTTCATGCGTACTGACTACCTGTAGTTGAAACCATGTTGCCTAGATAAGTGAAGGCAGTGACTTCTTCCAGATTTATCCTGCTCATATTGATAGGTGTTTGTTAATGATAAGTAGGTGGCTTCATCATCTCCGTCTTCTCTTGCACCCTATCTTCGTTGGGTGCTTCTTCTGTCAACTTGTTGATTTTCACCTGTAAGTCATCTAGTTTGTGTGACACTAAAGACAAATCATCGATAGGGTCCATGCGTTCTAGAGTCTCTTTTTGTCGGTCCAATGTATTCCTGTCTTCTTTCTACCCACTCACCTCTTGATGAATAATCCAGTCCACTACTATTAAAATCATTGGTGATAGTAGGCAGACAGCTTTTTTTTTACCACTGTATTCACTTGAAAGGCTTCATTGAGTTTTCTGTTATGAATGATTTGACATATGGCATTGACATATAGTTGTTGAATGACGCTGATAAAGATTTGAGGCGTTGTACTCCGTAGGTTTGAAATAGTTTCCAGTTTTACTTCTTCGTCAACTCTGTTGAAAGCCTTTTCGAAGTCGATGATTCGACTATCATTCTACGCTGTGTTCGACGATGAAACATGGAAATGTAATTTGATCCTCATATGATTTGCTTTTCCTGAATCCACATTGTTCCCGGTTGGGGGGCTTAGAATTCTGTATCCAGTGTATCTTTTATTCTCTCCAGGATGACGTGGGACTGGCTAGAAAACTAGCCAGCTAGCAAAAATAGCCATGGTTGTTGCTAAAATTACTCAGGTAAAAAATGATTAATTACTCCTTTTTTCTGAATGGTCAGTCTGAGTAGTTTTTCGATGCAGTTTCAGTCTTATGTTAGTTATCCGGTCAACAGTGAATTATATTATCACCTCCTTGTGAAACGTCTCTTTAGCTGTAGCTCACTTCTATCATTGCTGTAGGTGTAGATGATAATTTAAACAGACAAAATACAAGTGATTGACATTAAGATTTTGGTCCTAAATGTCTGCATGTCTCATCAGCATAGGTTCTCTGTCACATAGGCTCCCTGTCATGCTTGATTGCCATTTCAGCTATCGTGAACTTTAATCAGCTGTCTTACTTGTATCGTCAAGTTTTTTTCTAGTTTCAGTACAGAGAAAATTATCATTTGGACAGGGTTCAATCCCCAGCAGAAGTAATAAAAAAGGAAGATTAACTTTGAGACTAGCAAACTCACCTCGTCAAAACAAGAATATCACCTAGAATGTAAGGAATCAGGAAAATAACAAAACCCTCCCCTCCCTCTCTCATAAAATACAGTAATTAACCAATCTCCGCTGGTGATAAGTCCACTAACATTAATTAGTTGGCATCAGCATATTGTGGGGGATGATCATTAATTAAGAAAACCAATGCAGCAGTTAAATCATAGAAGTAATAGTAAAAAGTATAAAACAAGTGGATTGCATAACGCATAATTTTCTTTGGTTAAAATTAGAGGAGTAAATGAGAAATAAAAGACTTTTCGGGAGTTAATCTGTTTCAAGTTTGACTACTACTGATTAATATCAGTTAGAGAAGCATTGAATACCAACCACCAATGGAGTTTGGGACTGTTGAAACGTTCAACATTTGAAAAAAAATCAAGATCCTGCAAATGAACCCTTGGAAATTATCTTGATGCTTTCCAGTTAGTGACGAAACAAGTTGACTTGAGTTCTAGTGAGAAGTCATAACCAGTGGGGTCGAAGATGTTGCTGGGTGTGGGAACAAACACTCACCGATGACACTAGCTAGTGGTCGCGCCATATTGTGAATTGGCATAGGTAAGAATTCATAGGCCATTAGATCGGGTCCCAGTGGCTGATGAATGGTCTACGAGCTTGCTAATCTTGTAACTAGAAGGTACTCAGTTCGCACCGCAGTGGATGTGTACTACTGAAGAGTCCCAAACTAGGACGAAACAGCAGACTGTTCAGTAATCCCAGCTGGTTTTCCAGTGGTTCCCTAACCAATGTCAGCTCATGATGAAGTCCTGTAACCAATTAAACAAAATCCCTACAAAACTCAAACTTGAAAATCAATGAGATGCTCACTATCGAATGGCCCTATTCAGGTAGGTAGTTACCTGGAGTTCTAGGGGGAAGTCGTGATCGTTAGGGTGCAGCAGGTTGAGTGTGGGGACAAATACTCACCGAGGACATTAGCTAGTGCCAGTCATGCTAAAATTACAAATAGGCAGAAGTTGGAATTCATGGACTAGCCAAGGAATGGGTCCCAGTGAGTGAATAATCTACAAGATTTCCTTGTACCCGGATGGTCCTGGGTTTGAAACTCGGAGGGTGAGCACTGACATTACATCTCAGACTAAGATTAGACAGCTGTCCAGTACTTCCTGGTGGTTTTCAATCGTTCTCTAAATAATACCAATTCATTTTCAGGCTCAAAATAAAGGATTGTCCACATTGACTGTATAACAGAACAAAACTAAAGATGGTGTTGTCAGATTACTAAGATAGTAAGAACAACAATTATTTGCCAAAGGCCTAGGAGAAACGCAGAAGTTATCAGCTTCTTTCACATTCGTGTAATAATGAAAAATGTCAATAAATCTGTTGTGCAATTTCCTACTTAGATAACAGGTTCGGCTTCATCAGGTGAATCCTAATTTGGTAGCTGGCACCTTCTACATCCATTCCATCTGCTCTCGCAGATTCCCAGCACTTCTATACTATATCTCCTCATTTCTGCTGCTACCTGGGCAGCCTTTCCAGTTTCGCACATTGTACTAACATTCGACGTCCCCATCCTTATTTTTGCTATCATCGAAAGAAGGCACATCGGCTGACTGGCTTCCCGAAGGCTTTCACCAGCTGGCGTCATTTCACTTCCCCCATTCCAGCGAAAAATAAGGTTATTGTTTATATTTTTAGTATTTTTAATACATATGTTGATAGCATAGTGGTTAGGACGCCCGCCAACCATGCATATGGTTCGGGGTTCGATCCCCGACAGACTAGGCACTCCTTTACTTCGCTGAGCCAGAAATAATGCTGGTAAAGAGGAAAGGTCGGGCATGAGGCTAGCAACCCATCCTGTAAAATAAACACTGCTACAGAAACTTCAAGCCACTATCTTGAAGCCCTATATTCCATTGAGGAATGTGAAGGAAAAAAATGTGACTAGCTGTACAGGAGCAATCGAACTGGTAAATAGACGCTCACATATAAAAACGGTGAAATTGGGTAGTTTACCTTAATTTCTTGGGGGTGAGATCAAAACTACCTTACTAGTAGTAAAACCATCCACAGATGGGATATAAATTATGTGAGTGGAAATCTTAAATGTGGGTACTACTAATACTACTACCAACACTACTGATAGTAATAATATTAATAATATTCACCTTACTGTGTACTTTCACTGTTTTGGTTAGCCTTCATTCTAATTCTTTCTTTTTGTACCGTTTCATTCATGACTTGATCAACATTAATTATTTGTTGTTATTATTAATTAATTATGCATTGTACTTTTATCGCTGTTCATCAATTTAGAGTATATTGAGAAACAAGGGAACCAGCGAAAAAAACCACAATACACAATGAATGATATTCAAGTAAGTGAGATACATTACAATACGGAAGAGTTTCGATTGTTGTTTAGTTGGATAATGCATATATTTTAATTGGACACAAATAACCAGTGTGACGTGTCCAGTCCTTTCTTTGGTGCAGATTGAATTCTATCAGTCAGGTTTGAAATATGGCCAGCATTCTAGGTAGCTCGCCATTAAGGTGCACATTGATTTGATGATATCAGACAGTTGGAGGCAATCGGCCACAGGAAGTCGATTTAACTACTTCTACACACTACAGTCCTACAGGAGGTCAATTGCGAGGCCGAATAGCTCAGTGGTAACGTCTCTGATTGCAGCACCACTGGCTTGAAGCCCTATATTCCACTTGGAACGTAAAGGAAAAGAAATTTTGCTTAACCACGCAAGATGATGTTCGGAAATCCGACGAGAGTGTTGTTAAAATAACATCGAATCAATAATAATTTTGATGATACCAGTGGATTACAGTTCAATAACATCAGAATAACACTGCACACTGAGTATCAGAAAATTTAGGGCAGTAATAGTGGCTGAACTTGCTTCTTTTGCACACAAAGTACTCGTTGTTTCACGTGAATCGCGATAGCCTCTGCTGTTTGGAGGATGCTGTACCTTGATGTTTTCAGCAGTTTATTTTGTACCCGGTAGATGACAGAGAGGAATTTGTCAATGCTGCCTTTGTTGCCGGCTAGCCAACCGGTTTGACCAGGTGGTCTAATATCGAACTATTGATGGATTTTACTACACTTTTGCTTAGTCATACTGGGAGACGTTTTTGGGCTAGCAGGAAAAATGAGGTTCCTAGAACAATGGCCAATATAACTCGCTCCAAGACAAGCACAGTTGGATAGATAGATACAAAATGAGTTGAAAAACATCCAAATAAGTATCAGTATTATAATTAGATAATGGTTCAGGAAAGATTCACCAAACAATTATTCCGTACTAAAGACATTCATTAGCTTACTTTTCAAAAATACAATGTTTTTTGTTTTTCGAAAGCTGTTTTGTAAGTTTCTTATTTTTGTTTCTACCTTTTTCTAATCAACCTATCCTTTAGGAGGTGAATACTCCATCATTTATGGATAATGATGACGTAATCTTGATGAATAATCGATTGATGAGTGATTTGGAGAAAATTGAACACTTTAATAATAAGAATAATATCAAGAACAGTGATCATAGTACTAAAAAACACACTGAACAATTATTATATCAAGTTATGCGAGAGTAAGTGTTCAGGGAAGTATTTCTGTTTATGCATGTCTGTGTGTTAGTAGGTATGTGTGTGTGCGCGTGAGTTTGAGTCAGATTTATAGTTCGCTAAAGATGCGCACAAAAACCTAATCAACGAAGAATATTCTTTTTGATGGCCTCTTTTTCATCAAGTTCTACATTTATATGACAGCAATAATTTAAGAAATATTGTGATTGATAACACTAATGCTGTTTTAAATTGTATTAAATCAACAGAATCCACAAAAATCCTCAAAGAATTCTTGCTAAAGTGTACGATGAATGTAAATTTTAAGTTTCACCGTAAACTGTATAGACAGGTGAATGGAATAGCAATGGACTCTCCATTATATCCCACGTAAACAGACGTCTCTTTCTCTCTCTGAGTAAACAAGATGAAAATGGTCCTTTGAACAACGTCAACAGAAAATTCTCATTTTATCGCCAGTATATAGATGATAGCTTCATTCTTTGTGGAAATGATCTAGACAGTAACACAATAATATCTCAGATCGATGAAGTATGTTCACAGTTATCAAATTCATGTGTGGAGAAGAATACTTTCTAATTTTTATTTTATTCTCGTGAGTTTTGAGTAGGACGTAAGACTTGAAGCTATGGCTTCAAAATTTCGGCGGCAGTGATGTTTTTATTTTGACAGGTTGGTGTTGCTAGCCTCATGGCCTGCTTTACATCTTTACCGGTCTTTCAACTAGCTTAGAGAGGTTTAGGAGTGCAGCGGCCGGAAATAAGAATCCAGAAGTAAAATTAGTCTTTTCGACGTTTTACTGACAAGAAGAATAGGCGGTCCATATTATAACGACTGGTAGGATAACATAAATCTTTAAAAGTCTTTGAAATGAGTTGGACATCAGAAGAGATTTCGTCAGCTAAGGTTAGAAATATTTTCAGAAGCAATTTTAGCTCTGTGGCATTTAGTAGGAACTGGAGTGAATTATCCATTCTCCTCTGAGATTAGAGAAACTGGAATGAAAATCTCTACACTAGAGATGATCATATTTCCTGGTTTTGCACAAATAGTGCCTTCACTAGATTATGATGCATTTTTAGAATTGAATTCATTGAAACCCAGCTGAGCGAATGATGCATTATCGCCAATTGATAAATCGCTACATACTTCTGATGCTGATTGATTAATGCAATCAATGATCTCATAATGAGGACGACTGGATGACCGTAGAAGTAGTTTAGCAGTAAGCATTTCAATCAGTTTGGACTCTCACTAGCGACTGGCCCTATTCAAATAGTTTCCTGGGGTCCTCGTATGAAGCCGTGACCGGTAGGGTACAGCAGGTTGAGGATGACATTGCGAAGTGGTCGCGCTATATCATGAATTGGCATAAGTTAGAATTTATGGGCTGCCTGGTCATTGTACTGGGTTCCAGTGGCTTAAATGTGTATGAGCTACCTCGTCTTGTAATCAGAATATCCTGGATTCGGACCCCAGTGACGGGTGCACTCTGATAAAGAGTCATAAGCTAGGATGAAACAGCTATCCAGTACTCCAGTTGTGGTTTTTAAATGGTTCTCTAACTGGTGTCAGTTCATGATGAAATCCTCCAACCAATCAAACAAAATCTCCGCAAAATCAATACTTAAAAATTAATGCGACTAGATACAGTACTAAATTAGACTAGAATTTGTGCTCTTTCGTTGTCAAAAATGTGCTATATCTCTACGCGTCAAAAATGTTAATAACCCGTCAGTAAATGTTTTATAACAAAGTGTTACTATTTTGTTATAGTCATAATCTGAATTGACAAGAATAAGCCTCCAGACACGACATTGCAATTTCATTTGGAAATATTTTCAAATACTGAGATAGACACAGAAGTCAGAATTAACTTTGATAACGTTAACAACAACACATTTTATTATTAATATTATTATTTTGTTTATCTGTCTACATATTACACATATTATGTGGACACTCAGCTAAATTACTTCTCACCTAATAATAATTTTCAAATTATATGTCAAGCCCTACCTTCACGGTATCAGAAGTTATTACGTAGTCCATCTCTAACATAACTGACGGCTTGCTTGAATCACTGGGCTACTTGAATTTTCATCCGAGACAGTGCATCATATTTTCTTTACTTCTCGTTGTAATAATCATTTAGTCATGTCCGTGGGACACCAAATGTACCCGTACACATTTGTAATTGGTTTGAAATCCACTCTTGCTCAGTTCTGAGGCACCAAGGCAATATTAGTGTATGTGTAAAACTTTGCCACTGTGGTAGTAAGAAATTCCATATTATTTTGTTTATAAGATGTATCACACAGTGAAACAGTAGTATTTACTGGAATACAATGTTTCGAACACAATTTATTACTGTTCATAATCATACCTTCAATTATAATCACACGACTTCGAAACATGAGTTTTATAGTTTTCTTTGTCCTCTCCTATTCGTCGTCGTTAGGGTAGTAGAATTTTCCAGATATCCAGGTGGACAGGTGTTGAGTCATTCCTATTACACGTATTCCCTGTCAGTTGACTCGATAAACAAAGCTTCTGTTATCAATATCTCCCTCCACCCTGTGACAATTAGATTTTAAAACTGTCATCTTATCCCATCCCATGCCATCCTGTTGTATGGTTGTGTGTAAGTGCATGTAGTGTAGTGCTATGGATGAACTACTCTCTAGATTTCTTATCTTATTCGGGTCAATCAATCTAGATTTTGCTAGGTTTTTATGTTTAGCTAGTCTGACTGCCCCTGTTCTACTACTTTGATGCGTGTATTTCACCTGACAATCATATAATGCAGAGTATTAGATAAATTAAATTGTTTTGTTTTAAAGACTCCACAGGATTGATACCTCAACTGACAAGGCTTGTTTCCAATTGAGTTTGTGGGTTTGAATGCTACTTTTAATCCTGCGTAGGGTTTCTGAGGTTCCTCCCTCGTATGGAATGACTACAGATAATTTAGACTCCTTATTGTCGGTGTTGTCATTATCTTGCGCATGTTCGACCCACACATTCAAACATATATTTGAACTTCTGATCATCCCATCCTATGTCAGTAAAAATAGGATTGATCAAATTTTTATGCAATAGAGCACAAAAATTAAGTAGTACCGAGGAAAATGTAAAGTATGAAGTAAGGCATATAGCAGAAGCTTTGAAACTTAATAATTACTCTGATAAATAAGTAAGAAAGTATGTAAGGAAAAGTAAAAATAAAATAAATAATGATAGTAGTGATATTGATAATAGTAATATTAATAATAATAATGACGACATGCATGTCTTATATGCTCAAGAAAGTGACAACATCAACAATAGGGAGTCTAAATCATCAGTAGAAATTCCATACAAAGAAGGAACCTCCGAAACCTTACGCAGAATTCTTAACAGTGCAGGTAGGAATAAAAATGACTGGCATTCAAACTCACAAACTCAATTGGAAACAAGCCTTGTCAGTTGAGGTATCAATCCTGTGGAGTCTTTAAAACAAAACAATTTAGTTTATCTAATACTCTGCATTATATGATTGTCAGGTGAAATACATGCGTCAAAGTAGCAGAACAGGGGCAGTCAGACTAGCCAAGCATACAAACCTAGCAGCGAAATCTAGATTGATTGACCCGAATAAGATAAGAAATCTAGAGAGTAGTTCATCCATAGCACTACACTACATGCACTTACACACAACCATACAACAGGATGGCATGGGATGGGATAAGATGACAGTTTTAAAATTTAATGTCACAGGGTGGAGGGAGATATTGATAACAGAAGCTTTGTTTATCGAGTCAACTGACAGGGAATACGTGTAATAGGAATGACTCAACACCTGTCCACCTGGATATCTGGAAAATTCTACTACCCTAACGACGACGAATAGGAGAGGACAAAGAAAACTATAAAACTCATGTTTCGAAGTCGTGTGATTATAACTGAAGGCATGATTATGAACAGTAATAAAATGTGTTCGAAACATTGTATTCCAGTAAATAATACTGTTTCACTGTGTGATATATCTAATAAACATACCAGCCTGGAAGGCAATAGCTTGTTGTGAATAACACATGTTCTAGCCATGTAAGTCAATACAGTATGATGATGACATTTACTGTACTTTATCTTGTCGTTTGACTGAGAGACTGACTGGTTTCAGCATAGAACTTTGTAGAGAAGTTAACCCAGTTTGAGTTGCTGAACTCCATGTAGAGCACAAATGAAGAGAAAAGACAGAGAACAATGGAGTTCAGAAGGACGACAATAAAAAAAATTGTGAGGGAGAAAGAATTGGGTTTAAGCAATAAATCTCCATTTCACCTCGTTCTCTTCAGTCACTTTCAGCTGGCTCCCACAGTTGCCAATAAACTTTCACTTAATTTTCCCAAGATCTTTTTCGTGTCACTGTCAGATCCAACTCCTAGTTTCACACCAGAGTTTTACTCAAAAGTTCCCCGCATTGGTTTATACTCATCATCCAACATCATTCAACTCGGGATGTGTAACCTATTGGCCTGACTGTGAGTATGTGTATGTGATAAACTTATGTGATTACTCATTTAAATAGACTATTTTTAATGATAATAATAATAATGAATTTGTGGCCTAAACGAAATGGTGTGAAAATAAATTATTCCTTATTTAGACTATGAGACTTAGACTGACGATAATAACAGTACAGGCTTGTTTTTCACACCAACTAATAAATAATGATAAGAAGTAGTGAATATCTAGACAGAAAACAAAATGTACTTTAAAATTTATTATTATTATTATTAATTATTGAGCTAACGTGTAATTGTTACTTTGATAATTGTCTGACTAATTAATCGTCTGATAAAAATGTATGCAGTGACTATGAATTATTTATAAATGTTGATTGATTGAAAATTCATTGCCAAGTGTTGGAGGTTTGCAGCGATTTGATTGGTTACAGGGTTGATGACGGGCTGACTGACATCAATTAGAGAATCACTGGTAAAAACCACCTTTCCTGTCC